CATTCTTTTGATCTATGTCTCTTGATTGGGAAGTTTAATACATTTACATTTAAAGTAGTTAATGATGTGGAAAGTTAGTTTTGCCCTTTCATTTGTTCCTGTATGTCTTACAGCTATTTTGTCCTTCATTTCATCCATTACTGCCTTCCTTTCTGTTTACCTGATCTTTTCAGTGACATATTTTTTTTTTTCTTTTAAGATTTTATTGGGGAATTGGGGGTGGAAACAGCGTTGGGGAATCGGGGAAGGGGAACAGACAAGTTGCTGTTTTTTTGTCCTTCAGTCTAGTTGTGGAGGATGTTACGTCACTGCTCCATGTTGGTATTATCATTGCTCTCTTCCCAGCTGAGTCAGTTGCTCGCCAGCCATTGGATGGCCGCTTACGGTGGCTCAGGGCAGCTCACAAAAGCACATGCCTGCTGCGGGCCAGCCCCACTGCAGCTTACACCATTGCCAGAGACTCACGGCAGCCCAGCTCCAGGTTGAGCTGTTGTTCACCATTGTAGCTGTAGAAGACACAGTGTCACCGGCCCTCACGTGGGATCCAAACTGAGGCCCTGCTGCTCAGAGCTGGCGTCCTAAGCCAACTCCTAACCAACGCGCCACTCGGCCGGCCCTTAGTGACATATTTTGATTTCTTATTACCTTTTGTGTATATTCTATACATATTTGTGGTTATAATGCAGATTAGAAAGAACATCCAGTAGTTAAAACAATATATTAAATTGATACCAATTTAACTTCAGTTGAATTAAAAAAAAACCTCCTTTACAGCTCTGCCCCCTAATTTTGTTATTGATATTACAAATTATCTCTTTATATATCATATATCCATTAACACAAATTTATAATAAATTTTTATATTTTCAATTTTAAATCCTGTAGAAAATGAAAAGTTGAATTACAGTGCACCATATTATGTACAGTTGAGTGACATTAAGAATATTCACATTGTTTTGCAACCATCACCACCATCCATATCTACAACTCTGTCATCATCCCAAACTAAAACTTTGTACCCATTACACAATAATTCCCCATTCCCTTCCTTGCCTCAGCCCCTGGTAACCACAACTGTACTTTCTATATTGATAAATTTGACTATTCCAGATTCCTCATATAAGTAGTAGTATAAAATATTTGTCCTTTTGTATCTGGCTTATTTCAATTAGCATAATGTCTTAAAGGTTCATCCATGTTGTAGCATATATGAGAATTACATTTTTTTTTTTTTAAAGATTTTCATTGGGGGAATTGAGGGATGAGACTAGCACTGGGGAATTGGGGGAAGGGGAACAGACAAGTTGCTGTCCTTTTGTTCTTCAGTCTAGTTGTATAGGACGTTGCTTCACTGGCCCAAGTTGGCACCATCATTGTGCTCTTCCCGGGCAAGGCAGACCAGTCGCCAGCCTCTGGACGGCCACTCACGGTGGCTGCTGGCCACTCACGCTGGCTGCTGGCTACACACAGTAGCCCATGGCAACCCTACGCCATTGCCGGGGACTCATGGCAGCCCAGCTCCAGGTTGAGCTGTTGTTCAGCATCTTAGCTGTAGAGGGCAGTGTCACTGGCCCTCATATGTGGGATCCGAACCAGGGCCCTCTGGCGTCCCAAGCCAGTTCTTAACCAATGCGCCACTCGGCTGGCCCGAGAATTTCATTCTTTTATTTATTTTCTGTATCTATATGAGATGATGGATGTTAACTAAACTTACTGTAGTAATCATTTCCCAATATAAGTTAAGTCATTATGCCATACACCTTATACATATACAGTGCTGTATGTCAATTATATCTCAAACTGAAAGAAAAAAAGAATTTCATTCCTTTTTAAGGCTGAATAATATTTTATTGTATTATAAAACACATTTTGTTTATCCATTCATCCATCAATGGCTATGGTGGATAATGCTGTTATGAACATGAATGTACCAATATCTGTTTGAGTTGCAGCTTTCAATTCTTTGGGCAAATGGAATTGCTGGTTGATATGGTAACTCTATGTTTAAATTTTTTTAAACCCCCAGCTACTGTTTTCCACAGTATCTGCATTTTACATTCCCATAAGCAATGCACAAGGATTCCAATTTCTCCATATCCTCACAAAGACTTCTTGTTTACTATTTTTTTTATAATAGTCATCCTAACACTTATGAAGTGGTATCTCATTGCAGTTTTGATTTACATTTCCCTAATGTTTAATGATGCTAAACATCTTTTCATGTACTTCTTGGCCATTTGTATATCTTTTTTTTAGAGAAATGTCTATTCAAGCCATTTCACAATTTTTGAATCGGGTTCTTATTTTGTTGCTGAGTTTTACTTCTTTATATATTCTAGATATTAATCCCTTATCACATATGTAATTTGCAAATGTTTTATACTATTTTGTGGTTGCCTTTTACTCTGTTGATACTGTCCTTTGACACACAACCTAAGGTATTTTTTAAAATGTAGTCTGTAAAGCCCCACTCTAGACCTACAGAATTAGAATGCCTGCAGGGCAGAGCCAGAGCAATCTGTGTTTTCAAGAAATGTACCTAGTGGGGCTGGCCGAAGTGGCTCGTTGGTTAAGAGTTGGCTTGGAAGAGCGGGCTCTGAGAGGCAGGGCCGCCAGCTCAGATCCCACATGGGCCAGTGACACTGCCCTCTACAGCTAAGATGGTAAACAACAGCTCAACCTGGAGCTGGACTGCCTTGAGTTGCCAGTGATGGCGTAGGCTGCAGCGGGGCTGCAGTGGGCTGCCCTAAGCTACCATGTGTGGCCGGCAGCCAGCGTGAGCTGCTGTCCAATGGCTGGCAACCAATCTGCCTCAGCTGGGAAGAGCACAATAATCATAATACTAACATTGGCCAGTGAAGCGACATCCTCCACAATTAGACTGAAGAACAAAAGGAAAACAACTTGTCTGTGCCCTTCCCCATTCCCCAACACTGTCACCTACTCAAATTCCTCCAATTAAAAAAAAAAAGTGTACCTAGTGATTACCATGTCCCACTCTTTTAGTTGCTGCCCTTAATTTTTTTGTTAGCATTTAAAAACAAGTTTTGGCATAAATTTTGAAAACTGACCAGGATATCTTCATTTTTTCTTGATAAAAAAAAAAATTCTAATAAAATTTTACAGCCCCTCTCTCCCACTATTTTATTAAAATTACATGGACTTTTAGTTCTTGATTATCAATTTTCTTATACTATCTCTTCATATTTTTGAGAAGTCTTTCTTTATAACTGCAGTAAGCCTCTCAGCCAAACTATCAACAATTATTTAGACTTAACCATAAATAATAGTAGAGTTTTTGTTAACTGTCACTGCTTCTTGTATGTCTTTTTTGTGCATAGATCAATATTTCATTTGTTGGGGTATATCCTTAAATAATGTTTTCAGACCATGAGTAATACATTTCTCAGTTCCTAGACATCAAAAAGTTTTTTTATTTTGCCTTACATATTGATATTTTAGACACTGATCATAACTACAAGTCACCATTTTCTTTTGGATATAGTCATATGAATATTGTCACTGTGACAACTTATCTTCTAGAATCCTATAATACAGATAAAAATTTTGTTCTTCAAAGTCTGATATATAGAAATGAGTGATTCTCACTTCTTTGTTGATAAACTTTTATTTTTTTTTGTCTTTGTTTTTATAAATAATTTTCTCTCCCTATTTCTCACTCTGGCATCTTTCAGCCCTTCCCTTTATCTCTGGAACTAGAAATATCACCAACATGTGTCTATGTATGTTTTCTCTCCTGACCGTCATTATTTATGTTCTAAAATATTCATTTCTTTTATTTCCCACAACAATTTCCACTTTTAATCCTCTCCATTTGATTACTCAGAACATCTACTGAATTATTTTATTTTGGCAATAATTTTAATTTCTAAGAATTTCTATTTTTGTTTTTCCATGGTGTCTGTTTTATTTTCTTCAGGGTCTGTTTTTCACATTGGCACTTTTCTTGTTTTTTTTCCTTGTTTTTTTATTTTTTGGTTTTTTTTTTTAGCTGAGCCATCCTGCTACCTGTTGGCAGCTCAGCGGCTGCTCAGCTCGGGCTGGACTCGAACCACTGTTGCTCAGAGCTCAAACTCTTGAGCGAGCTCTTAACCAACTGAGCCACTCGGCCGGCCCTGGCACTTTTCTTTCATACTGCTGGTTGTATTAAAATGTCTCATACTTCTTAATTGTCTATTCATAATTACAAATGAGGAACTGGGTGAATTGTATAGGAAAGTTGGTCAGGAATTCCATGAAGGTACATAGGTCTATTTGATCATTTCCCTCTTTTTGTGTCCTATGTATATCTAGGATTACTTCAGGTTCAGCTCTGCTTTATGATCTGGTTCCAATGGCCACTTTAAGAATCTTTTGTCAGTCAGATTCCTCACTTATTTATAATATTTATGAAACAATTCTTTTAGCTTAAATCAAAGGAGCACCTGTTATAGGCCAACCCCTTTGTATGCATGAGATGTGGAAGAGGGATTTGTTTTAGAGTCAGCACACTAATTAATTTCCCAGGAGGATGCACTCTGGTCTACTCTGGTCTACTCCCACATCCTGCAGTTGCTGTCCACATGCATGCAATTCCTCTGTGCTCTCCCTTCGACTTTGAATTGTGGTTTTTCTCTGTTGGTTTCTTGATCATACAGATTCTGTTTGCCTTCTGTCTTCTAGGACTTTCTCAAAACTCTCATCTACTAGTAGTGACCTTTCCTATTTTGGATCTATTCTTTTTTCGTAAATCAATTCTGTCATAATAATGGGATTTTGAGATGAATGGAAAATAAATGGCTATTATCAGCCTGCCAGTTGGATTAAAAAGTTCGTGGTTACCTTATCCAGAAGGGGTTTCTTTTTGTTTTGTTTTGTTTTTCTTATCAGCTTTTCCCTACCTTTTAATCACAGTCATATGATAAATAACCTAAACAATTCAGGAGAATATTTAGATTAAAAGTATTTGCAGGTCACTTTAAATGTTGTCAGTATTATACCTGTCAATGGCTTGAAGATCATTGGCTGGATTCCAAGTAGGGTCAAATAATACAACAACATTGGCACCAACAAAATTGAGGCCTAGTCCACCAGCCCTGGAGGAAACAGAAAGAGCACATTAAAACAGCAAAAAATAATTGTTGCTCTAAAACTCAATTGTGCCAGGTATCTATTACCAAATCAATACAATACTGCATTAATGTCATAAAAGATGATAAAAACACAAATATGACACAAATGAAATAGCTATGAAATATTTTTGTACCACTCTAGAATAGCCCTACAAAATTTGACCATTTGAGTCCATGTAAGTAGACTGTGCTGATCACACTCAAATACTATTTCTGCAAGATTTTCTTAACAATTTTTAAAAACTGTTAGTATATTCCAGCTTAATAAAGTAATATGCACATTAAAAGAAAAAAAATCAAGCCAGAAGTAGATGTACTTCTTATTCCTCCCACTAAGTGCAGCTAAATAAAAACCCTGGACGTTATAATACAAACATAAGACTCTGAAAGGTAGAGAGGACATAGACTGGCTAGGAACTGTAAGGCATAAGGAATGACATGCAGCGAGTTTCCTGGATTTCTTTTTGCCTGATATATCCCATACTGAGTTCTGGAGAAGCCAGTGAACTGGAAATGCCAACAGTCGCAGACAAAAAAAACCCCAAGAAAATCCTTCTTCCTTTAGCCAAAAAGAACCAGAAAAGGTGCAGCCTTCTAAGACAGAAATATGTGAGACAATAACCAGCCTATTCCTGCAAACACCATGGGAAAAAATCTGGCCTCACTCTCAACCTGGTTAGTAAAGGCTGAGTGAGGAGACTAAACTTCCACCCTTGTAATGATTACCTTTCACCCCTTCCCTGACACCTGGTGTCAGAGAAGACTGACCGAGGAGCTGGGACTTTCATTTCTGCCAGTGATAACCAGTTCCCCCTCTGTAGTTTCAATGGAGGCCATGCAGGAACATAAAAAGCACCTCAGTCTTAGGATGTCAACAGAGGCCAAGCAGAAAAAACCATGAATTTTCACCCCTATGTGGTTGACATAGTATGTGGCTAAAACATTTAAATAAGATATAAATTCTTATAACAATACTAAAAATGTCCAGCATAAGATAAAAAATTACTAATCATACCAAGATCCAGGAAAATCTGAACTTGAATGAGAAAAGACAATCAACAGATGACAACAATGAATCAGATGTTGGAATTATCTGACAAGAATTTTAATGTAGTCATCATAAAAATGTTTCGATAAGAAATTACAAGGGCTGGCCGAGTGGCTCAGTTGGTTAAGAGCTTGCTCAAGAGTGCGAGCTCTGAGCAACAGGGTTGCCGGTTCGATGTCCGGCCTGAGCTGAGCTGCTGCTGAGCTGCCAACAGGTGGCAGGATGGCTCAGCTAAAAAAGAGAAAAAATAAAGAAATTACAAATATGCTTGAAACAAAGTAAAACTAAAACGTTTCTGCAAAGAAAGAGAGGATATAAAGAAAAACCAAGTGAACTTTCAGAACTGAAAAATAACTGAATTACAAAACTTGCTGGAATGAACTAGACAGTATAGTGGAGATGACAGAGAATGAAAACAGGTTAATATTATTTACCCAGTCTGAACAACAGAAAAAATATACTGAAAGAAAATGAACAGTCTTAGAGACCTGAGGGACAATAACAGAAGAGCTAACACTCACATCACTATAGACTCAGAAGGAAAAAAGAGACTGAAAAAGTATTCTAAGACATATGGCTGAAACTTCCCTAAATTTGGATAAAGACATAAACCTACAGATTCAAGAAGCTGGATGTACTCCAAAAAAGATAAGCCCAAAGAAATTCATGCCAAGATACATCATAATTAAACTTCTGAAAAGATAAGACAAAGAAAAACTCTTGAAAGCAATAAGAAACACCAATTCAAATGAAAGCGGATTTCTCATCAGAAACCATGGAGGCCAGGAGGAAGCAGTATAACATTCTTCAAGTGCTGAAAGAACTATCAACCCAGAATTCTATATCCAGCAAAAATATCCTTCAGGAATGAAAGGGAAATCATGACATTTTTAAATTAAGAAAAATGAAGTGAATTTTTTTTTTTTTAAGATTTTTATTGGGGAATTGGGGGGATGGGAACAGTGCTGGGGAATTAGGGGAAGGGGAGCAGACAAGTTGGCACCATCATTGTGCTCTTCCCAGGCGAGGCACATCAGTCGCCGGCTTCTGGACGGCCACTCACTGCGGCTGCTGGCTGCTCACACTGGTCGCAGGCTACGCACGGTAGCCCATGGCAACCCACTGCCACAGGGGCTGCAGCCTACGCCATTGCCCGTGACTCATGGCAGCCCAGCTCCAGGTTGAGCTGTTGTTCAGCATCTTAGCTGTGGAGGGCAGTGTCACTGGCCCTCATATGTGGGATCCGAACCGGGGCTCTCTGGCGTCCCAAGACAGTTCTTAACCATCGTGCCACTCGGCCGGCCCTGAAGTGAATTTTTTATTGACAGACTTAGGGAAAAAAATAAAATAAAAACTAAAAAGCCATCCAATATTAAATCTTATTAAATTTACCTCAAAAATGTTTTTCTCGAGTCTTCTCCATTCCTATTTCCCCTGCCCTATTTCAAGTCCTTATTATACAGCACTTATATGTATTACTTCACTGGCTTCTTAACTGTCTTCCTTTACTTCAGACCTTAAATCCATTCTCATATTACACAAAATTATTTTATGCACAGAATATAAAAAAATAAAGCATGCCACTCCTCTGTTTTAACCCTTCAATTCTTATACTTCAGAGGCCAGCTCTTCAGGCCTCAATGACCAGGCCTACCACCTCTGCAGCTGTATTCTTGGACTTGATCTCACAGAACTACCTATATACTAACTTAGAGTTGCCTTCGTATTACTTGCAGTTTTCTTTGCTCTCTTCTTTGCCTGGCTAACTTCTACTTGTTCTTCAGCAGGCTAATGAAGGATGAACTAAATGTTTCTCCTTTGTACCTCCTCCTCCTGGCATTTACATACTGTATTGAAACTAGCCTTTTACATATTTCTCAACAACGATTCCCTCCATCCTCATATTGTTTTAGTTATAAACTTTAGAAGGTCTGGGTCTGAAGCTTTCCATCTTTTCTTCTCCAGGACCTGTCACAGAACACTCAATATGTCTTCGTTAAATTAACTAATGATTCCTCCTAGTTAGTCATATATGCAGCTCTTCCCTCCATGTATCCTAAGCTCTAACCACTTAAATTCTCTGGTCATTTCTGTACCGAGGCCATTCTCTCTGCCTAAAATGCCCTTTATGTAAACCTGCTTTTTCTTCTAATGAAATTTTATCTATGAAAAGCCTGTTTAAACATCACATTTCTTTTATGGTCTTTCTTGATATGCCTATTCTTTAAATGTTCATGGAACTTTACACATAAATCTAGGAAAGCGTTTATTTACTCATAGTGCTCCTTAAAGGCAAAAAAACAAAAACAAACAAACAAAAAACCCAAAAAGCTTTATTTTTCTTATCCCACATTAAGGGTCAATAAAGACAACTGAATTGAACAACGGGGTCTGAGATTGGCTAGCCAACATAACAAAATAATGGATTAGAGGAAGATTTTATCCTTTTGCTCTATATTCTGAGAAATGTCATGTTCCAATCTTATTATTTTATTTGAAATGATTAATTTTTAGTCTAAAATTTTTCTTACTGTCCAAATTCTTTTGTTCTCTGAATTATCTTTATTCTGGAACATCAATACTTTAAAACCTGGCTTTCCATAATCATCTCATTCAGTTAAATAAAGAAGGGTCATCCGGCATTTTTTCTTGGGTTGGGATTTTTATTGGAATCACTGATTTTATAAATGACTTTGAGGAAAATTGGCATTTTTATGCTATTGAGCCTTTCTATCTGAAATATCTCTACATTTATTTAGGTCTTCTTAGGAGCATTCTTTAAATGACTACTGCATTTCACCTTTTTAATAGTTAACACATAACAATAAAATTTAATTCACTGAAGTCAGTTTTGTGGAATATTAAGATATGTTTAAAGTATATTTTTTGAGGGCTGGTCGAATGGCGTGTTGGTTAAGGGTTGGCTTCGGATGCCAGCTCTGAGCAGCAGGGCCCCAATTTGGATCCCACATATGAGGACCAGTGACACTGCGCCCTCTACAGATAAGATGGTGAACAATAGCTCGACCTGGAGCTGGGCTGCCCTGAGTCACCAGCGACGGCATAAGCTATAGTGGGGCTGGCCGGCAACAGGAGTGAACTTTCATGAGCTGCCATGAGCCGCCCGTGAGCAGCTGTCCAATAGCCGGCGAGTGACTGCCTCACCCAGGAAGACCACAATCATAATACCAACATGGGCCAGTGAAGTGACGTCCTCCACAACTAGACTGAAGAACAAAAGGACAGCAACGTGTCTGTTCCCATTCCTTGATTCCTCAAAGCTGTTCCCGTCCCCCAATTCCCCAATAGAATCTTTAAAAAAAAAAAAAAAGTATGCTTTTTGATATATTTATTTGATATAAGAATTGAATGTGGAGGACCAAAAAATTAAGAATACATATATGTATTCTATAAAACTTAACTGAAGACAGCATTCTATGTCATTTAATGTTCTGTATGTAAGGACTCATGTGAGAAATCACAACTTGAGTTCATTCACAGGAATTGAGAATCCAGAGCTTCTCTCTTTTTGCCTTAGCTGCAAGAGTTCAAGAATAATTTCAGTGATCAAAAGTTTAATTTCAGTGCTCACTCATTTTTATAGATATAATTTTGTTTTTCATTTAATTTTTATTTTGACTTAATTTCTACTTTTTGCATTTTCACATGTTTATTTTTAAAGTCTCTTGAAAGTCTTTTTGAAAGACAGTGGGAGCAAATCTATAAAATACTTATTACATTAGATGCCATGGTTATGAATTTGTTAGCCCCCCCAAAAAAGAGATTTATTTTACTTAGGTGTTTATATTGACTTAACTCATTCTCTAAAGTGCGTATATTCTTCTTTTTTTAAAGATTTTTATTGGGGAATTGGGTGATGGGAACAGCACTGGGGAGTTGGGGGAAGGGGAACAGACAAGTTGCTGTCGTTTTGTTCTTTAATCTAATTGTGGAGGACGTTGCTTCACTGGCCCAAGTTGGCACCATCATTGTGCTCTTCCTGGGCGAGGCAGATCAGTCACCGGCTTCTGGATGGCTGCTCACAGCGGCTGCTGGCCGCTCACGCTGGCTGCTGGCTACACACAGTAGCCCATGGCAACCCACTGCAGTAGGAGCTGCAGCCTGTGCCATCGCCAGTGACTCACAGCAACCCAGCTCCAGGTTGAGCTGTTGTTCAGCATCTTAGCTGTAGAGGGCAGTGTAACTGGCCCTCATACGTGGGATCCGAACGGGGGCCCTCTGGCATCCCAAGCCAGTTCTTAACCAACGTGCCACTCGCCGGCCCTGTGTATATTCTTTAAAAGGTTTTAATGAGAGATTTGTAAATAAGTGTTAGAACTGATTTAACTTTTTAAAACTATAAATGGGGAGTTGCTCTGGTTAAGAAGAGGCAGAGACAAAGGGGGAAATGCCTGGCTCACTAGGCCCTGTGGGCTCTTTAGGGCTCCTTGAGTAGAGTTTGGAAACCATCGCTACAAATGATTCTCAGTTATTCAATTGATAACTCAATTATTCAACTTAGTTTCATTGTTCTGACCACAGCCTTAAGTCAAAACAGTATTTAATAAAACTCAAGAAATTGCTATTTCAGTCATAATTAATAGCATTTTTGCTGCTTCTCCTTAAAGCCAAATAAAACTAAGCAATATAAGCATAACCATTGAAAATGATTCCAGTAATAGTTTTAAAATTACCCTAAATCTTAAAAGCAGTTAGATAAAAATCAAGTTATCAAATTTTATTTTCTTACATTGTGGAGACAAGGCAAATGTTAACATCTTGTGTACTGTTGAACTCTTTCACAACCTTGATTCTTTCCTCTGATTTTGTACTTCCATCAAGTCGTCGGTAATCAAGCCCAGATGCCATACAGTATTGCTGCAGCACATCAAGCAACTAGAGGAAAAGTATGGAGATGCGCAAAGATGAATTCATGTTTACTTAAACTTCAGTTCATTATAGAGATGAAATTTACTGAGTATTAATTATTATTGCTGCTCACAATTTCTTTCTTATTATTATAAGAGCAACAAATATTTTTCTGACTTCTGACCCACATATCCCATTATCCTGAAATTGACTTTAACTTTCAGCAACCTTTCTCAAAAAAAAAAAAAATCAATCTTTCAGGGGAAAAAAATAAAATCAATCATTAAATTTTAAAACTGAAACCAAATGAGAGGGAAAGTATTGGCCGAATCACAGATATAAATATATTTCATTTACTTGTGCTATTTTCTATGTTCTAAAATCTCTTAAATAACATTTTAATTATCAACAAAAACATCAACAGAAAATTAAAAATCTATCTTTGAGTTTGTTATTTGACAGTAACCCTGATATAATTGAGACTTAAAAGTTGCCTATCTCACTACCATTTCCTATGGTGTGTATAAGACAGAAAATGTGGCTGGATGCTGTTATGGCTGTTAGGCTTTATGACTCAGGAGTTAAGGCTGGCCCAGTCAAGAATACAATTCAGACCAAACTCACCTTGGTGGAAAAGGAGAAGAGAAGAACTTTATCTTTGTTTTTCCTACAATGGTTTAAAAGCTGCTGAAGGACCTGGAAGTGAACCACAGAATATCAGTGAACCAGTTCCAACTAAGAGTACACTTTGTACATATAAACATCACTTGAGAATTTCTTAAAAAGTATTTTTATATAACATAACCTCAGTCAGCTTTCCTAATTCCTTTCATTTTTGGCAAGTTATAGAAATAAAGTATTAGATATTACATGTTATTCATCATCATATTGTCAATAATGAGGTAAAGTTCCCAAAAACTTTTTTTTTCATTTCATCTGGTTTTAATAAAAAGGAAGCATTTTAGATTATGGGATGCATTTAAATGGATTAATTTAATTTCCAAAATACACTTTCTTTATACCTACAATATGTTCAGAAACTAAATTACAGAGCAGCATTCCTTTTAGGAAGTATTTAAATTTTCTCTAGATAGATGTAATAAAATGTGTTTAATTACATCTAGGTTCTAAAAGTCTTGATATTTATTTTCTTAAAATAATCAGTCAGATATATGCCTCTTCTCATTTTCTCCTCTCTGTTTCTCTATTTACAGTAAGCCCTGACTTCCAGATTTGATTTTGACCTCAAAATGCCAATAATCTGCCCCTATACATGGTGCTTTTAGGGAGGAAGCAAATAATTCAAACCCTGTATATAATAGTAATACTGTTATTTTAAAAACAGGCATTTCCACATCTGGCAATGAAGCCCCAGAACACTATGGAAAAGCAACCCATGCAGGAAAGAAAAGGAATTTTCTGTCCAAAGTCTAAGGTTTTTCCGAACCATGCAGTAAACCGTTAAGCAACTTTATTTATTCAATGACAAACATTCAAACTTTAAAAAAATATATATATACTCAAAGAACACTTTTTAAATATCTGAGCAAGAGAAGACATTGTGCTAACTCTGACCCCTACCCCACCAACTCCTCAAAAAAGCTATGGAGTTTTATAAAAACTACTCAGATAACCAATCAGATGGTGAGTAAAACAGTCACAGATGAGGTAAACAGTATTTTAATACTTGGAGAACATATAAAGTAGTTTTATTGACATAGCTTTATTTTTTATAAAATAAATGATTCTATAAAGTATGTGCATTTTAATTTCACATAATATATTAACTTTTTAAAATTAATAATTTTTACAGCAATTTTAGATTTACAGAAAAATTAAGTAGAACATACAGAGAACTCCCATAGACTCCCTCTTCCTCCCTTTCCTGCCCCTCGCCTGCACAGTCTCCCCTATTGTTACCATCTTTGTTTCAGGTGGTGCATTTGTAAGAACTGATGAATGAATACTGATAACTTAGTCTATAGTTCACATTAGGGTTCACTCATCGTGTTGTACAGTTCTATGGGTTTTGACAAATGTAGAATGACATATATCCACTATTATAGTATGATACAAATAGTTTCACTGCCCTAAAATTTCCCTGTGTTCCATCTATTCCTCTCCCTGCAAACCCCTGGCAACCACCAATGATTTTACTTTCTCTGTAGTTTTGCCTTTTCCAGAGTGTAATACAGTTGGAATCACGCAGTATGTAGCCTTTTCAGACTGGCTTTTTTCACATAGCAATATGCATTTAAAGGAACTCCGTATCTTTTTGTAGCTTAATTGCTCGTTTTTTTTCTAGTGTTGAATAATATTCCATCGTCTAGATGTTTATCCATTCACATATTGAAGGACATCTTGGTTGTTTCCAAGTTGTGGCAATTATGAGTAAAGTTGCTATAAACAAACATCTGTACATAGGCTCTTGGACATAAGTTTTTAACTCATTTGAGTAAATACCAATGAGCACGATTGCTGGATCTTATGGTAAGAGTATAATTAGCTTTATGAGAAACTGCCAAACTGTCTTCCAAAGTGGCTGTACCATTTTGCATTCTCATCAGGAATGAATAAGAGTTCTTGCTGCTCCATATCCTTGTCAGCATTTGGTGTTGTCAGTATTTTGGGTTTAGCCATTCAAATAGGTGTATAGTGGTATCTCATTGTTTCAACTTGGAATTCCCTCATGACACATGATATTGAACATGTTTTCATCTGCTCATTTGCCATCTGTATATCTTCTTTGGTGAGGCATACATTCAGATCTTTTGCCCATTTTTTAAATTGGATTGTTTTCTTATTGTTGAGTTTTAAGAGTTCTTTGTATATTTTAAATATCAGTCCCTTATTGATTTGCAATTATTTTCTCCCAGCCTGGGACTCATCTTTTCATTCGGTGAAAGACATTAACATTTTAAGACAAGGATATATTGCACAGAAATCTGCTCTGATGGTTTGAGATGGTATCATACCTATTGCATTTTCAGGTATTATTGAATATCTTACAGTAAAAACAGAATAAGTAATAAGAAAAGTGAATGCTTTTGAACTGGAGGTCTTTATTAGGCTAGTTTTTTTATTTTTTTTTAATTTTTTTTTAAAGACTCATTAAATGAATAACTAAGATCCCTTACAGAAATTTCAGAAATAAGTGTAGTCACTATATGTTGGAGTCTCAACAACACAGACCCAATATTTTATTACTTATTTGTCCTTCACAGAACAGGGCAATGCCCCTGAAAAGGAATCCTAAATTTGGGGATGTTCACAGCTAAGGAATCTTGGATCTAACTTTACTCAAATTAGTCAGGCATAGAGATTAACATGACCCTTGTATGATTCCAGCAGCACTAAACTGGGTTTCCTACTCTTTTTTTTCTACCCCCCACAGTAAGTCGCTCTGTGGCATTTCTCATGGAAAAGAAAAACGAGAATTCTCATCAGGTGAATGAGTGCAACTTGTGACCATCCCCTTGAATAGTAGTTGAGGTCAACAAAGACCTTGACATGGAAGAGAAAGAGCTGGAGTTCATGAGTGTAGCTTTGAGGCAATGAAGGGTACAGTGGGCATTAAGTTCACAAATAAATTACACATGAAGGCTAACTTATAAGAGAAATAGAACTAGGATCTTTTATCATCTGAATTAAAGAAACACATGCAACTTGGGGTTCTTAACCCCACAGGTAATAATTCCATAATGAGGCTATAGGTTTTGAATCACTAAATCACCACATGATGTTGCTAACCAAATGATGAAACAGTCTTAAAAATATAGCCCTAGCTTATTACTATCAATCTTTGATTTGTTGGTGACCTTTCACAAAACAAGTAAATTACATGCTTTTCTTCACATATAAAGGCACCCAGCCTCCAGCAACAATTTATGCTTGCTTTACCCTTCTAAAAATCATAATAAAAATAAATCTAATAATTGTCTTCATCTGATATTATTATTCCTAGATATGTAACTCTAATTAACAGTATGTTTTAAATCATATATTTAATAAATATACAAGAATATAAAATGCAGAGTTATAAACTTTCATTCATTGAGTTTCAAGAATGGTAACTTTTTAGTGAAGAGTCACAACGAATAAAATTTAAATAAATAACAATGGACAATGCAGTTTTCAAAGGAGGTCATGATTTTTGGAAATATTCTATTGGCTTAAATAATGGGACTGTCCTCACTTCTAAACTAATTGGGCTTTTAATATTTTTTAATTTAAAAATAAATAAAAAAATCAATAAAATGGATGACAAAAATAGATTTACTATTGTTAGGAAATATTAGATTTGAAATTTTTGTTGTGATAATAAACATGGAATATTCTTACTAGAACAAACTTATTTATTTTAAAAATACACAACTTTTGGGCTGGCCAAGTGGCTTGTTGGTTCAGAGTTGGCTTGGGAGCACAAGCTCTGAGCAGCAGGGCCACCGGTTTGGATCCCACATGGGCCAGTGATACTGAACTCTACAGCTAAGATGGTGAACAACAGCTCGTCCTGGAGGTGGGCTGCTGTGAGTCGCCGGCGACAGTGTAGGCTGCCGTGAGCTGCCTTCAGCCACCATGAGCGGCTGCCCAATGGCTGGCGACCGATCTGCCTCAGCTGGGAAGAGTGCAATGATCACAATACCAACATGGGCCAGTGAAGC